CTCCCCCACTCCCCATCACCAGGGGGCGCTGCTGGGTCCTAGTGCCCGCCCCTACCAGGGGGCGCTGCTGGGTCCTAGTGCCCTGCCCCCTGTACTGGGTGGGTACGGCTGGGTCCTAGAGCCCTCCCCACCCCACCCCACCGATCCGGGGATGGGGTCTGCTGGGTCCTGGTTCCCGCCCCCTCCCCGTGTTCTGGGGGGCCACTGCTGGGTCCTAGTGCCCGCCCTTAAACATGGGGCCACTGTTGGGTCCAAGTGACCTCCCTCTACCAGATGCGCTGCTGGGTCCTAGTGCCCGCTTCAGGGGGTGCTGCAGGGTCCTAGTGCCCTCCCCCGATTCAGAGAAACTACTGAGTAAAAGTTATGCCCTTTGATCCTCCAGGGACACTGCTGTCCTATTGCCTTCCCCCAAAACCAGGAGCACTGCTGGATCCTAGTGCCGCACTGCTGGTACTGAGCGTCGGTGGTGGAGGGAGTGGGATGTTTGTGGATGTGGTGCCAATCAAGCGGCTGCTTTGTCCTGGATGGTATTGAGCTGCTTGAGTGTTGTTGGAGCTGCACCCATCCAGGAAAGTGGGGAGTATTCCATCACACTCCTGACTTGTGCCTTGTAGATGGTGGACAGGCTTTGAGGAGTCAGGAGGTGAGTTACTTGCTGCAGTATTCCCAGCTTCTGACCTGCTCTTGTAGCCACTGTGTTTATGTGGTGAGTCCAGTTGAGTTTCTGGTCAATGATAACCCCCAGGATGTTGATAGTGGGGGATTCAGTGATGGCAACACCATTGATAAGTAAGGCGTTTGATAAGGTTCCCCATGGTAGGCTCATGCAGGAGGTAAGGAGGCATGGGATAGGGGGAAATGTGGCAGATTGGATTCAGAATTGGCTGACCCTTAGAAGACAAAGGGTGGTAGTGGATGGAAAATATTCAACATGGTGCTCAGTTACGAGTGGTGTACCATAAGGATCTGTTCTGGGTCCTCTTCTATTTGTGATTTTTGTAAATGATTTGGATGAAGGAGTGGAAGGGTGGATTAGTAAATTCGCGGACAATACGAAGGTGGGTCGCTTTGTGGACAGTACGGAGGGCTGTTCTAGGTTACAAAGAACAAAGAACAAAGAACAAAGAAAGTTACAGCACAGGAACAGGCCCTTCGGCCCTCCAAGCCTGTGCCGATCCAGATCCTCTATGTAAACCTTTCGCCTATTTTCCAAGGATCTGTATCCCTCTGCTCCCTGCCCATTCATGTATCTGTCTATCGTGCCTGCGTCTACCACCTCCACTGGCAACGTGTTCCAGGCACCCACCACCCTCTGTGTAAAGAACTTTCCACGCATATCTCCCTTAAACTTTTCCCCTCTCACCTTGAAATCGTGACCCCTAGTAATTGAGTCTCCCACTCTGGGAAAAAGCTTCTTGCTATCCACCCTGTCTATATCTCCCATGATTTTGTAGACCTCAATCAGGTCCCCCCTCAACAAAGGGACATTGATATAGGATGCAGAGCTGGGCTGAGAAGTGGCAGATGGAGTTTAACCCTGAAAAGTGTGAGGTGATTCATTTTGGAAGGACAAACTTGAAAGCAGAATACAAGGTTAATGGAAAGATTCTTGGCAGTGTGGAGGAGCAGAGGGATCTTGGGGTTCATGTTCACAGTTCCCTGAAAGCTGCCACACAGGTGGATAGAGTTGTTAAGAAGATGTATGGTGTGTTAGCTTTCATTAATAGAGGGATTGAGTTCAAGAGCCGTGAAGTTATGCTCCAGCTGTACAAAACCCTGGTTCGGCCACATCTGGAGTATTGTATCCAGTTCTGGTCGCCTCATTACAGGAAAGATGTGGAAGTGTTGGAAAAGGTGCAGAGGAGATTCACCAGGATGTTGCCTGGAATGGAGGGAAGATCTTACGAGGAAAGGTTGAGAGAGCTGGGGCTTTTCTCTTTAGGACGAAGGATGAGAGGTGACTTGATAGAGGTGAACAAAATGATCAGAGGTATAGATAGAGTGGACAGCCAGAGACATTTTCCTAGGGTGAAGGCAGCTATTACAAGGGGACATAGTTTTAAAGTGAGTGGAGGTAGATATAGGGGAGACGTCAGAGGTAGGTTCTTTACTCAGAGAGTCGTCGGGGCGTGGAATGCATTGCCGGAGAGGGTAGTGGAGTCGGCCTCATTAGGGGCATTTAAGCGGCTATTAGATAGGCATATGGATGATAGTATAAGGTAGGGGGTGGAGGTTAGATAGACCTTAGGTTTAGGGTAAAAGTTCAGCACAACATTGTGGGCCGAAGGGCTTGTACTGTGCTGTACTGTTCTATGTTCTATGTTCTATCATCGTGAAGGGACGGTGGTAAGATCGTCTCTTCTTGGTTTTGGTCATAGCCTGGCATTTGTGTGGCGCGAATGTCACTTGCCGCTTGCCAACCCAAGATTTGGAATGCTTCTTTATTAGCAAGTCCTAGATCTTCCTGCCAACTGGAATAAATGTCACCATACTGCTGGGTCCTAGTGCCTGCTCAGTTCACCTTCAGAGCAGCAAAAGGTCCTGTGGTGTATGACTTCATTGTACGGTTGACGCTGGGTCCTACTGCCCTCTGGCTTCAAAGACACAACAGTGCCAGGCCCTAGTGCCCACTCTCTTCACATCAGGACACTGCCAGAGATGTGCTGGGTCCTGGTCCCAACCAGGTTCACTATCAGGGCAGTGGAGTCCTCATTGTCATGTCACTGTCTGTACAATACCAGGTCCCAGTGCCTGCTGATTCACTATCAGGGCACTACCAGGTTCTACGGCCCACCAGTTTCAGTATCAGAGCAGATCTGAGTACCAGCACCTGTTGGAATTAGTCAAGTGTCAATAACAAGGCATCATAGTTTTAAAGAGAGGCAGAGGGTTTAGAGGGGAGTTGAGGAAACCCTTTTACGCCCAGAGGGTGGTGGGGGTCCGGAATGCACTCCCTGCGTAATAGAGGCAGAAAACCTCACCACCTTTATAAAGTACTTGCATGAGCAGTTGAAGTGTCATAACATTCAAGCCTATGTGCCTAGTGCAGGAAACTGGGACTGCTGTAGATAATAGTATATTTTGGTGGCACAGAGTGGATGGGCTGAAAGGCCTCTGCAGTACCTATGATTCTATGACAGTGGTCTGATTAGTTTCTGGTTAGCTGAACAGTTGCTATATGCGAACAACTCAGAGGGAGAAGGCTCAAGACTAGGAGAGACAGAATCTCTCTCTCACACACGCACACACACACTCTCTGTTGCTCTCTCTCTCTCTCTCTCTGTCTCTCACCCTCTCTCTTTCTCTGTGTCTCTCACTCTCACTTTCTCTCTCTTTTTGTGTCTCTCACTCTTACTTTCTCTCTCTCTCTCTCTTTCTCTGTGTCTCTCACTCTCACTTTCTCTCCCTCCCCCTCTCTCTTTCTGCAGTCGAAGTATTAAAACTTGAAGAGAGCCAGTTACTTTCTCCTACTGGTTGCTGCCAGCTATAACCTTTGACAAGTAACTGGGAGACTTTTCTATTTGTGTACCAGTCAGCCTGGGACTCCTCTGAACAACCTGGAAAAGAAGGTCTTGGAGAAGAAAAAGGACCTTCTCACTAAGTGTGGTGGCCTGTTGCAATTGAACTGTGTTTCCCCAATATTTCTCCATCCACCCAGAACACCACTGTTTGTTAGTCTGTGCCTGTTTGTGTTTGGAGGGGTTTAAACAGTTCATGGAGATTCTTTGTTTACTTGGGGCCAGAACACACATCTTTGTGATGAACAGTAGTTCCTGTTCAGGACAGAAAGCTGGTTAATGTTTTCTGTTCAGCTGATTCCATCAGATAGATCAGTTGGGGCTGCATGAACTTTGATTAAATCGCGAATGTTTATGACGATCATGGGAGGCAGAGAGGCTGGAGAATCAGCCACTTTCCCAAGTGCGCTGTGACAGGATGAAGTGTGGTATTTCTAAGCTAAACATTACTAAAAAGAGACAAAAAGTGAAGTTGTTTATCTTGAGCTTATATGGTCCCTGATCTGATGGAGATACAGCAGCAGCTGTTAACTGCTAGTCACAGTGAGCTGATAAAGCTCCGCACAGGCAGGCAAACTCTGATTGATCAGAGCAATGCCATGGTGAATGTAGCTGGGATTGGCAATCTCCAGAACCCTTCCTCAACAAAGAGGAGACAATGAATGTATTCACTCCTTTTGCCAACACAAACCAGGGCCCTGTGTGTGAGTCACTGTGGCCTGTCGTATACACAAATGAAACGTATTGCCAGCCTGAACAATAATGTTAATTTGATTAATGTGTAATTCTCCACACAGTCTGGATTATTTAGTAAATTCTACCCAATACCGTAATCACATCTAGGACCAGACATTCTCTTCAGAGATGTGCAAGTACGGCCAGTTGAACAATGTTGGCACAATGCCCACTATGGGTTGTCAAAGGAACATCTTGTTTGATACAGTCCACCAGCTATGGGCCATGAAGCATACAAACTCAACAGAACTTTCAGCTGAAGCTCATGTAATATATACAACCAGGTGTAGCGTCAAGGAGCCCTAGCAAAACTGAGATCAATTATTGGGGGCAAACTCTGCTGGTTGGAGTCCTACCTGGCACATAGGAAGATGGTCGTGGTTGTTGGAGGTCAATCATCTCAGCTCCAGGACATCTCTGCAGGAGTTCCTCAGGGTAGTGTCCTAGACCCAACCATCTTCAGCTGCTTCATCAATGACCTTCCCTCCATCATAAGGTCAGAAGTGGGGATGTTCGCCGATGATTGCACAATGTTCAGCACCATTCGTGACTCCTCAGATACTGAAGCAGACCGTGTTCACATGCAACAAGATCTGGACAATATCCAGGCTTGGGCTGACAAGTGGCAAGTGACATTTGCGCCACACATATGCCAGGCAATATC